GAGTCATTGTTAGTCTTTCCTGCTGCATTGCATTCCATTGTGTGTATGCATTCATCTGTTGATAGGCACTTCGGTTGTTTCCATGTGTTTGCTGTTGTAAATATTGCTGTGATGAACATAGGTTTGCAGATATCGATTCATGGCAAGGCTCTTATTTCTCTAGGGCATATACCTAGTAGAATTGCAGAAATATATGGTACTTTTAGTTCCAAAAGTTTAAGAAAGTGCCATACCATTTTCCATAGTGGATACACTATCATAGTGGACATTACTATCAACAGTGTATTAAGGTTTCAGTCTCTCAACCCCCTCACAAGTATTTAATTTGTTTGCTTGTTTTTAACTTCCCTTGGAATGCTAAGGTGAGATGACACCTCATTTTTGCTTTCATTTACATCCTTCTAACAACTAATGATCCAGAGCATTTCTTCATTGGACTGTTTCCATCTAAATGCTTTCTTTATTGAAGTGTTTGTTTATGTCCTCTGCCTATTCTGTAATTGGAGTTTGTCTTTTACTTGTTGAGGTCAGTACATTTTCTCTAAGCTTTCGAACTTAAGCTCATCTCTGAATATGTCATTACCAATTTTCTTCCCCAGTAAATGGATTCTCTTTTCATTATTTGGTTGAAGTGTTGCTTTTTTTACAATTTTATCGGCACTTCTTCCACATATCATACAATTCAATAGTTCAAACATATCAAGGAGAGTTGTGCAGTCATTACCACAATCAATTTTAGCACATTTGCTTCTTCCTTGTACTTATTACTAGTGTAATTATTATTGTTTTTTATCTGTGGGAAAAATACACACAACAAACAGTCTCCAATTCAACACCCTTCTACATGTACATGTTAGTGTTAGTGATTATACGCCATAATGCCTTTGATGAAGTCTTTTGATGCACATAAATGTTCATTTTCAGGAGGTCCCTCCAGTTATCTAGTATATGTTCTGTTGTTTGTGTGTTTTCGGTTATATTTGGTAGTACACTGATAACATGTATTAGGGCCACTAAGTTTTCCCCTATTTTGTTCATTAACAAATTTTATAGTTTTAGATTTTACATAGGTCTTTGATCCATCCACCTTGAGCTGTTTTTTGCAGATGGTGAAAGATATTGATCATGTTTCCTATTTTGTGCAAACGGATTTCTAGTTTTTGCTAGCATCATTTGAAAAAAGACTATCTCTTCCCTATTTCAAGGGTTTGGGCCCTTTGTCAAAGAACAGTTTCCCTCAGGTGGATGGATTTACTTCTGGTTCGTAATTCTGTTCCATTGGGCTATATGCCTATCATTGTATTAAAGCCATGTGTGATTTGACTATCACGGCTACATGGTAGGTTTTGAAATCAGGAAGTGTTAAGCCTTCTACCCTGTTCTTCTTGACTAGTGCTTTCCTTACTCAGTCTCTTTCTTTCCTTTCTTTAAAGAATACCTTTATGTCCTTCACATCTTTTTAAAGAATAATGATGGCATCTGTAACAGGATCTAAGGTAGGTGGAGATTTTCACAACGGTAAGTTTTCCTACCCATGAGGATGGTGTATCCCTTAACATTAATATAGGTTCCTTTTGGACTGCTCTGCTGAGAATGGTAAATTTTATAAAAATGGTGTTGCTTTCTTCATCAACAAGAACAATTCAAAATTTATGGGAGAAGCTCAATGTCATCAGCCAAAATAAGACTATAGAAAACACCATCAACTACTCATGTTGAAGTTGAAGAAAAATCAAAACAAGCCCATGAAAACAAAAATATGACCTTGAGTATATCCCAGCTGATTGCGAGAACATTTCAAGAACACTAATGACAGAAGACCTGCTAAGCTATAGGATGACTTTTTAAAATCCCATACATAAAGAAAGTAAATGGTATTAAAAAGCTAAGAGAAAAGTAGACATCAGAAGAGACTTTAAAATATAGTAGAGTTTAAGAGTTTACACATTTGAATGTAGAGTAGCTAAAGCAGTGGAAAAAATGATGATGTAAAAGAGATAAATAGAAATTTTCAAAGGACAGCTTAAGAAGACAAAGTAAAGTATTATAATTAAATATGAAAGATGTACAGTTAGAATGCCAACAGGTAAAAAGACACTAAGCATATCATAAACTGAAAGAACTGAAGAAAAGAAAGTGAGCCTCGAATTTCAATATTGAAAGCTTCTATGGACACGAATCTTTGGACATGTCATCAGGAGAGAGCAGTCCCTGGAAGAGGGCATCGTGTTTGGTAAAGTAGCAGGACGGCCTTCGACAAGATGGACTGACACAGTGGCTGCATCGATGAGCTCAAACTTAAGAACAATTGTGCGGCAGGCAGGGAACCAGGCAGTGTTTCGTTCTGTTGTACACAGAGTTTCTATGAGACGAAACCAACCTGATGGCACCTAACAACAACATAAGCAAACTCGTGAGTGATGCAGGAAGTATCAAAAGATGGCAGGAATACACAGAATCACTGAACCAAAAAGAATTGGTCGACAGTGTACTATTTCAAGAGGTAACATGTGATTAAGAACAAATGGTACTGATGGAAGAAGTCAAAGTTACACTGAAGACATTAGCCAAAACCAAGGCTTTAGAAAAATGGAACACCAGCTGACGTGTTTCAACAATTGATGCAGCAGGGAAGCATTCATCCATCTATGCCAAAAGTTTGAAAGACAGGTCCCTGGACAACCAACTGGAAGAGATCCATATCTGTTTCCATTTTTCTTAAAGTGACACAACAGATTGGGCAATTATAGAATAATACCATTAATATCACATGTAAGTAAAAGTTTTGCTGAAGTTGATTCAACAATATTTACAGCAGTACATGGAGAGGTGCTGCCAGAAATATAAGTTGGATTCAGATAAAGACATGGAACAAAGGATTTCAATGCTGAAATCAGATAGATCTTAACAGAAAACTGAGAATATCAGAAAGATATTTACTTGTATTTATTTACTAGGCAAAAGTATTCAACTGGGTAGATCATAAAAAGTTATGGATAGTCTTGAGGAAAATGGAAATTCCATAACACTTCATTGTGCTTATGGGGAACATACACTTGGATCACGAGACAATTATAAGAACAGAACACGGGGCATACCGCATGACTTAAAATCAAGAAAGGTGGGCATCAGGGTTGCAACCTCTCACAATACTTATTCAATCTATATTCCAAGCAAATAATCAGAGAAGCTGGATTACATGAAGAAGGAGGCAGTATCAGGATTGGAAGGTTTATTAACAAACAAATTGCAGGTAACATCCTTGCTTGTTCAAAGTGAGGAGAGCTTAAAACATATGTTTATGACGTTTAAGGATTGCAGCTTTCAGTATGGATCACAACTCAGTGTAAAGAAAAACCAAATCCTCACAAATGGGCCAATTGGTAACATCATGATAAATGGATAAAAGATTGAAGTTGCCAAGGATTTCATCTTGCTTGGATCCACAATCAATGCTCATGGAAGCAGCAGTCATGAGATCAAACGATGTATTGCACTGGGTAAATCTTCTGCACAAGATCTCTTTTAAAGTATTGAAAAGCAAGATGGATATTCTGAGGACTAAGTGAGCCTGAACCTGCTATGTGGGGTGATAGTTAGGTGTTTTGTGCCCACATGGCTCTTATAGGAACATGTGGGTGGAGGTTAGCCTGTCAATCAGGTCACAGCTTGATTGGAGGGTGACTGAGATAAATGGCTCTTCCAGGCCAGCCTCTTTCTCTTTCTCCCTGGTGATCTGACCAGTGCGCTGCTGCCTGAGTTAGCTACTCTGCCTCAATCGTGTGCTACCTGTAGGCTGAACCAACCCATGGGTCCTGGTGGACTGTGTCACTGTACCATGCTACACCTTTAGGCTCCATCCAGATCTGCTTCACTATGCTGCTGCGCTACTGGCCTATGCTACACCTAGATATCTCATCTTCCTGCTGCTGCTGCTGCCCCACCTTGCCATGACTGCTGCCTGTGGCCAACTCTGCTTATCTTGCACCTCCCACCAGCTACTTCCTTGACCTTGAACTGCGGCCAGCAGCCAGTGTGAGTTGGAAGGACCATCAGTATATCAACTGTTCCACAAAAGTGAGTTAGACTGAGCCCTATGTACTGCTGTGTGGACTAATTAGCTGTTGTATTCCTTCTTAATATATAAATATAAATATATAAATATATATATATATATATATATGCCTAAGTGTCCTGGTTTTGTTTTTCTAGTGAACTCTGCCTAACACTCCCTGGTATTTTCAATCACCTCAAGTGCAGGTGAAAGCTGGAGGGTGAATAAAGAAGAGAAAAGAATTAGTGCATTTGGATTACAGTGCAGGTGAAGAACACTGAAAGTCCCATGGACTTCCAGAAGAACAAATATATTTGTCTTGGATAGAGTACAGCCAGAATGCTGTATGGAGAGCCTTTTCTCACATACATTTGACATATTATCAGGAGAGACAAATGCCTGGAAAAGGAAGCTGTGTTTGGTAGGAAGGGAATGGAAAAGAAGAAACCCCTCAATAAGATGGGTTGACAAAGCAAGGGGCTCACTGGGCCACGAGGGGCTCAATCATAAGAACAGTCATAAGGATGGCACAGGACACGGTTCTGTTTCGTTCTGTCATACACAGGCTCACTATGAGTTGGAATGGACTCAACAGCACCTAACAAAAACAATAACATAGACCTTCAATTATGTGGAAGCATTTTTCATTCTATTCACCCTTTGCTGAACATTTTTACCAAGGATCAGAGTTTTTAAAAAGCATTTTTCAATTTTTTAATATCCTCTCTCAAACCCTACTTATTTCCAGCAAAGGACACATCTCTAACGTCTAAAATCTTCATAACTTTTATACCCATATATTTAACCCTATTACTCAGTTTTCAATATCTAACTGACAATCACCCTTTCCACAGATACTGGTGTAATAATGCTTTGCAGTTTGTAATATTTAGCTCTCAGTAGAAAATCCCAAAAGCAATAATAATGACAATATGGTTTTACTTACGAGAAGTTTTGGAAGCAAGAAGAGTAACTCGGGAGCCTCCTAAGAAGCGAAAGCCCATCACGTTCACTTGATCATCATCTGACTGACTGGCAAACCCTACAAAGAAAAGAACCATCTTACATAAGCACGAGGCAGATTAGCACTAAACATTTAAAATAGGAAGTTTAGTTGAAAGCCATGTTTGTTTGTTTGTTTGTTTTCCTTGATTTATGCCACTAGTCATGATTAAAGCCCATGTATGAATTATAACAAGTTAATTTGATTTCCTTGTAGCTTCCAATTGCTAAAATTTCTTTTTCATACCCTCACTCTGGAATGATTTAATTTTCTTTCTTCTAATATCAGATCTGGTTGGTTCCGATCTGAGGCAGGAAACAAACAAGATGAACCTAGAAAATCTTTTCATACTAGATAACAAGGAAGGTTCAATGATTATTCTGAGCTATATAATATGTGTTATGTGAAAATATGTGTTACATGAAAAATATTTGAGAATCAAATGGAGAACAAAAATATTTGAAGATCAAAAAAGACAATAACTGCAATGAACGAAGCACATAAAATACATTGACAGCTTGAATTAATATTGATACTGGAGCCAAAATCACTATTGGAGGATCTTTAAGAAACAACTTATTATTTCAAAACTTGTAATACAGAGGAAGAAAGAAGCATTTATACTGATATTTCTACTTAAACTGCACCACACAATCAACAGTTGGTAAGGGAAAGTTCTCAGTATAAAAATACTCAGTATTAAAAAAAAAAAACTAAGTGTAAACAGCTTAGAATTTGGATAAACTATAAACACAAATGCATCAATATGATTTATATGACTCCAGAACAGTTAAAATGATTTGTTTCCTAAAATACAAGCAATAAATATTTTGTTTCTATAATTTGAGAGTTCTCATGAAGGCATTCAGTGAACACTAAGACAAGAATTCTTTTCTAACGATCCAAGATTGAATCGATGTAGTTGGAGAAAAAGCAGTAATAAATGCCTGTGTGAATTATACACACACACACACACACACACACACACACACAATACTCCACTTATGTATGGATTGTGATAAGAATTGTATGAGCCCCCAATAAAATGATTTTTTATAAAATACTCCACTTAATAAAGACTTATTGGAAGAATAAAATATCAAGGTTTTGCAATCTCTAGCAAAGTGAGGTCATAGCCTTGAACATCAATGGCTGCTACCATGATGAAAGGAAGAAAAAAAAATTCTCTGTCAAACAGATATTATGTGCTTCCTTTAAAAGTATATGTCCAAGTCTGTCTGGATAGGACAGGCTGGATGAACAATCTGGAGGAGAAAACAACGGGACTGACAGTTCCGGGGGGGACATGGGAGAGGGGGAGG